TTTCTTTCCCCGTGCGCATGCGCAACCTTCCTCCTCCCTTTTTCTGCGCTTGCGCACGTCTCACGGCTGCCTTCCTGCGCAGGCGCATTCCCATATTTCCCCCCCTTCCCTTCGCCCTGTCTTTCCTTCTCCTCGCCGCCCCGCCCCGTTCTTTTCCCTCCCTTTGATACGCATGCGCAAGCCCCACTCTCCCGTTTCTGCCCATGCTCGGTCTCTGCTAGTTCTCCGTCTCTTCCTTCACGCATGCGCAATAGGGACTCCAATTTTTTTTAGATGGTACTCTCTAGTCTTGTGCGCAAGCGCAGCGCCCACTCCATACTCTTTCCCGCTATTCACCATTTCATGAAAGCCTAAAATAGCAGGTTCGGTACTAATAAACCAATTACAGTATACATATTAATTCTTGTTAAAATCACAATCTGATGTTTCTTCCTCCATTATGCGTAATCACACTGTTCCCTCTTTTTCCCCCTCTTCCTTTCTCCCTATCACCCGTCAAGAACGCTTCTGCGCAGGCGCGTTCCACTCTGGCGCGGCCCTATTGCGCACGCGCAGCGTTATTTGTCGGAGACGCCGACGAGCTGGAGAGAGAGCGGCCGACGTTCTCTCCTGAACTGGGCGGCCCGCCTCTTGCGCGTGCGCATAAGGCATCCGGGAGGGGGGAGAGGGAGGAGGAGATTTTTTTAAAAAAAGACGAGGCCTCGCACATGCGCACTGGAGCGGAGTGATTCTGGTGGAGCAGTTCTTTTGTTCGCGAGGGAGCATTTCCGGCTGTAGTTCGAACATGTCGGGATTGTCGTTATTAATCCTGTGTTTTTTATTCTGTCCTCCTCAGGAGAGATCAACCGCTTGCAAAACCCATCCTGCCTTAAAAAAAAAAGAATCCAGTGTGGATGTATGAAATTTTCCTTTATTTGGACTACAAGGCCCAGGAGGGGATTCTGGGCGTTGTGATCCAAGCAGAGGCAGGCTCCGAGAGCTGCCCCGGAGGCGAGGCGGTGATCTGAACGCCCGCCTTGCCGTGCAGGCAACGCCCCCGGAGGTCCCAGGAAAGGCACCCACAGCTTCCCTCTTTCCCCCCCCACCTCCTCTTCACAACCGCCTTGCGAGGCAGGCCCCCCCTCGGCGGGGAGGAAGAGGGCGGCGCCCCCCGCCTTGCCGGTCATCGATTTCAGCCCCCACCCTCCCCGGGGGCATCC